TGTACTTACATTTAAATTAATTATTTGGTACAATGCACTTATTGTGTACATACATGCTTTTACATTGTATTTATATTTGAAAAATATCTGCATGTAATTACATCTGTAATTACATTTATAATTACACAGTTGACCCATCCCTTACACCTTAACCCACCCTTAAACCTACCCTTACCACCAAACCTGTCCCTAACCTTACCCACATCTCACCTCAATAGCAGCAAAAGTGTTTTGCAATACAATATGAACACAATAAGTACATTGTACTTATTTTTTGATGTAAGTACATAGTAGTTAAGGCCACTTAATATAAAGTGGGACCTGCTTTTGTTCTGAATGTTAATATTATTAGTAATTGTAATGTAACACATTTTTTCTTACACTGCTGTCTCTTATCATCTGTTGTATTTCCTGCAACACCGAACAGTTTCCAATTAAAGTCCAGTGAAAGATGCATGAAGGATGTCTTCTTACATGCCTCTGGAAAACAAAAGGTAAATGCAGCATAGGCAATATTATAATTTCTATTGTCTTTTTTCACAATATGTATTTATTTAGTAGTAGTTTAACGTTTAACATGCACGTACTATTTGTGAAATGAATAACTTACTATTGGCGCACAAGACAATCCATGTTTCTGGCAGGGAAAAATGCATATAAGGTTTAACCAGGTCATTAAACAAGAATTGAAAAAAAAACCGAAACATTACAATTACTTGCATGACAAATATGAAAAATACCAGCATACAGACATACCTCCATATGAGGTTTTATTAAGTTAAGAGCATCTTTGTGAATAGTTCTGAGGCTTTCTGTCTTTTGCCATCCTTGATTTGACCCGACGAAGTGTAATGTGAGAACTACAAGCAACAACTCTGTGAGAAAAAAAAAAATGTCAAAGAGATAAGAAAAAAATTACGACACATGCTGCAGTAGAATAATGCAAAGGAAACAGATCTTACCATAACGCTTTCTGCTGTCCATCTTTGAACACTATTGCAAATCACAAAAGACACCTCTATTTATATACCAAACTGAGTACAAGTTTTACCTCATGAAAGATTATGTGTGTGACAGATAAATGCTTATTATACACGATGACTCAAATCACATTGCTTGTCTTCACCCCACACATTTTCGTAGGAATTCCACAGATGTGACAGAATCACACAGAAAGGGCAAAGCAGGCATATGTATGGATATTTTTTTAATTCTAAGCAATCAAGAACAAATATCATACTCAGGAACAAATATTGCAATGCAAATTTTCTATGATGTATTTGTTGTGGTGTTTCAAATCAGGTTTGATAAAGATCACTATAGCTGTCCCACAAAATAAGATAAGAGTTGATACAATCTCATAAAAAACTTTTTTTAAGAACCAAAAAACATATCACATTTTTAAATGTGTGTTAAATTGCAACTCAGGTGGGAAACTCTGGCCCAAATGCTTAATGGCAGGTTCCCATTGTAACAACCATTGCCCTGCTGTGTGTGTTCAACGAACTGGATCTTTTTCCTGGACAATAATTGTGCAAATACTCAAAAATGCTTAAAGAAATGTTTAAGGTAAACCATTAAGGTTTACTATGAGCCAATACAGAAACTGAATTCCAAACTTTTCTCAATAAGGGCAACGACCATTGACAAGGTAGGTCTGCTTTACATATTTGCTTCAAAATTACCATATCACATAATGAAAACAAAAACATCGGTAGATCTTTCTGAACAGTGGCTAACAGCCAGCATGTATAGATAAACTCTGCACTCTCAGAGAGAGAGAGAAAAAAAGAAAAAGAAACAAGAGCTGTCACTAGGGCAGATGATTAGCGTAAAATCCCAGCATAAAAGTACCATTTCAAAATAATACAACTTTGTACCTTATGTACCCCCAAAGACTGCATATAGGTACATAAGGTAATTTGGTACCTTAAAGGTACATATTTGTGGCTAAAGTATGCATATTACACTCTAAAAAATGCTGGGTTAAATACAACCCAGTGCTGGGTAAAATAGGGACAAACCCAGCAATTGGGCTATTTTGACCCAGCGGTTGAGTTAAATGTTTAACCCAACCTTCTGGATAGTAACCCAACCTTCTGGGTAAACCGCTGGGTCAAAACAGCCCAATTGCTGGCTTTGTCCCTATTTTACCCAGCACTGGGTTGTATTTAACCCAGCATTTTTTAGAGTGTAGTACCTAATTAGTACATATTTGTACTATTTGAAAAGGTGCTGCCCCAGTGTATAAAGCTTCTGTACCTTTTTTTCAGAGTGTACTGTTCAAAACATTGACGTTTGTATCCATTTTTTATGTTTTTGAAAGGAGGGTCTTACGCTCCACCAAACTTTTTACTAAACATGTAATCAATCTGATGGCCCTAAAATCATGCTTGTTCAATTGTGTCATGAGATCTCCTTGACTAAAAATCATCAGTGTTTATGGACAACTGCCAAAATGGACTTGATTTTAAATGTATAACTTCCTCTTTTTATACTTTCTTGTAAATAATTGGGCAAAATGGCATAATTCAGCAAATCAAAACAAAACTTTCATGCTGTGCACATTTTACCATCATCCATCCATCCATTTTCCAAACTATGTAGGGTTGTGGGGATCCTAGAATACATAGCCACTTCAGACATATTTGTGAGAGTTTTTACATACAATTTTAACATAAAATTAAGAAAACAATATTAAGAATAGTACTAATATTAATTGATATTAATAATTGAAATGTAATCTATTTGTTCTTACACAGCTGTCTCTTTCCATCTCTTGTATATTCTGCAATTTTGAAGAGTTTCCAGCTAAAGTCCAGTTTAAGATGCGTGTAAGATTTCTTATTTCATGCATCTGGAAAATAAAATGAAGTACAATATTACAATTTCTATTCTGTTTTTCCCCTATTTATTTATTTAGTTAGTTATTAGTTTAAGATGTAGTTATTAGTTTAAGATTTGTTTTTCAGTGCTTCTGGAAATAAAGTAAATATTAATATTTCTATGTGAATCGGTAAATACATCCCCCCAAGTAAAGAGGAGAGATATTCAAGAGAGCATCTGATTAGACAGAAATCTGTGCTTTTGAAATGAGTCCATTTTCTCAGAAAAGAGAAACTGCAGAAACATACATGAAACAAACATCATAAAAGTCAATAATCGATGTCCTAAAAACTACTATAAAGACTAAAAGCTCCAAAATCATTTGTGCGTGTACCCACACCTCAAGCACATAGACTTTGCACAGCATGTAAACACCTCTGATAGTGTTGTGCTGGCTCATGTCAAACACTTCTTTGCACCAAGCAGCAACACTTGCCAGGAGGAGCATTCAAATGTTCTGATGTCATACGGGACAAACCACTGATTGCTTTCCAATCGTGTGTAAACACAAATCCTTCTGTCATTGTCTGATTCATCTGTAAGCACTTAAAACAGGTTAAAGAATGACTTTAAATATTGAGAATTGTAACTTTATATTTCCTGTACACACAGTTCAGTCGTGACAACTCTTGGTGTGAACGTTTATGATGGAGTTAGTAGACCTGGTGTTGCTAGACTAGACAAGAACAGAGACTTGCTACTGCTGAGACACAAACACAAACACAGACATATATCCACTCAACAAACACAAAACACGAAGCCCCGACAATGCGCTTCAACCACTGAGGCATGTGTTCGGCTGCTGCTCAAGTTTACCAGCTGTATTTGTTCCCGGTCCAGCCAATATTCTCAGCACATTAGAGAGGAATTCCTGATGGCAGGCCGCAGCTGCAGCAAACACTGAAGCAAGAATATTTAAATCAAGCTCATTGGCTGATGGATTACAGGCAGAGCACCAATCAGCTTGGCCCATTATAAAAGACTGTTTAATGGTGGGTTTACATTGTTACAACTTACCCAACATACTGTGACAACATGCCCCACTATGTGTGTTCAATGAACTGGATCTTTTTCCTGGACAATAATGGTGGAAGAAATGTCAACAGCCAACTTAGATCTAGACTACTGTTCAAAACGTTGGGTGTTCGCAAGATTCACAATATTACAATAAAACAGTAATATTGTGAAATATTCTATTTTAATATATTTAAAAATTCTATTTATGAATGTGATGCAAAGCTGAATTTTCAGCAGAGTTTTTAGCGTCTCACACGATCCCTCAGAAATCAGTCTAATATGCTGATTTGGTGCTCAAGAAACATCTCTTATTGATGTCAATGTTGAAAACAGTTGTACTGCTTCATATTTTGGTGGAAACTGTGATGAATTTTCTCAGGATTCTTTAATGAATAGAAAGTTCAAAAAAGCTGAATTTATTTGAAATAGAAATCTTTTGACCATTTATATGCACCCTTGCTATTAATAAAAAAAAAAAAGTGCATAGGCTACAATATCTTGCCTATTCATCATTGTTTTTATTTTATTTATAAAACGGATAGTTCCGGTCCTTGATTCTGATTGGTTGAGCCCCGTTCGAAGCTGTTGTAAATTACACTACAAACATACACCTTTGTTTACTTCTGTGTTGCTCGGCAACCACTTTGTTGGAACCACAAATTACAACCGTTTCTGAGAAACTACATTGTTTGGTGGAAGAATACCATTTTTATTGATATCATTACACTTTATTTGCTCCGTTTTATTCTGTGAAATCTTACTACGTACATGGAATAACCATTTTATAAAAGCAATAAGCCCCATGAAGCCGTGGTTTGCAGTGAATTTATAACAGCTAAGGGGATTTAACAACGCTCCTTAGCTGTTATTAATTCACTGTAAACCACGGCTTCTTGGGGCTTATTGCTTTAGTATGTAACATGCTACGGCAAGTCATAATAATAATAATAATAATAACTACGCAAGGTTCACACAAAACAGATTTTAGACATTTATTTTAAGCATGGTGCCCAATAAATGAGAACTTGATTATTTACTCACCCAGCAACCAGAGGTACGTTAATTCTACACATGCATTCTTGTGTATATAATGGCTTCCAATTCAATGAACTGAATTTTTAATCTCTTATATCATGTTAAACCTGGCAAACAGAAACCTTTTCACTGTTTGAAACACTGGCACAAGTTTCACTGAGGTGCAAATAATAATTTAATGACATAATTTCTTTAAGAACTGGGCACAGGTCTTAAACCATTGTTGCCAAAAGAAGAACAATCACATTCACACACACCACATTATGAAACCTGGTGGCCACTGATGAAATGGAGAAAACAGTATGGGAATATAATTACAAAAGTCGGTGTTTCAGAAATATTAGACATGTTTTGGCGCTAGTGGATAGTTGGGGGTCACCATAATAATAATTTAAATCCAGTGCTAATGTGAAAGCATACTGACTATTTTGCATAAATGTGTTGTGCAATCAACAAGACAACCAGTGCTTTATGAAACAACGTACGCAAGTAGACTGACAAATCACAGGAAGAGGTGAAGAAAACCTCAATATCTGCAATTATCAATTCATATTAGGACACATTTTTGGAATGTCCAACTCTTTGAGGCGAATTAGGAAGGAATCGATGTTTTCCGAATCATTCTACTTAAGCATTTCGCAGCAGCGTCGAGTAGATCATCTTGGTGATCTGCAGAACTGCGGCATGAAGCGAGTACTGCACCACGATGGAGCCGAAGCCCTTGTAGAAGCCCATGGTGCCCTCCTCACGCCGAATAGCATTAATACAGTCCCTCATTCCTTCATACTGTGTGTTAATGGGCAAAACCTCGAAACCCAGGTCAGTGTTGTCGATGATAGTGCGTGTTCCCTGGATATGCAGCCTGTGCAACACCGTTTCCAAAGGAAACAGCAGCACATCTGCACACAGGCTGGCAGCAAAGCTGGCCATGAGCTCAGGGAAGTATGCCTCCAGCATAGACTGGACCGCGTCCGCTTGCGAGTCAGGGGACGAGTGCTTTGGTGAGCCATTATTCCGACGCCGCAGCAGGTAAAGAACCAGCCGCTGCACGCTGGAACTGATAACATAGTGGAGGATGCCGTGGAGGACCGTGGGGAACAGCAGGTTCCAGAGAGGAAGGAGACGCTTGCTGTGAGGCACTCCCATCCCCATAACTCGCCCGATACCCTCTTTCACACAATCCAGGATGCCGGGGTTGTCTCGGATTATTTCACTCTGGTGAGGAAACATCAAGAGGAAACACTAAATGAAGTCAGGCTGGGCGATATAACAACAACAACAACAACAACAAAAATCCTCATTATTTGACAGCTTTTTTGACAAAATTTCATTATATTTATGTATATGCTGTATATAAAAGGGATATATTTAATACAAGTATCACTTTTTTTTCCCCCCAATCAGAGAAACCACTATGACAACCAGCAGCCATTGTTGATTCAAAATGTTTAATCTAAGAAATAAAACACACTGTTTAAAAGGAAATTGTTTAATATTGAACTATTTACACTTCTGTTCAAAAGTTTGGGGTCAATCGGATTTTTTCTTAAAAGAAATTAATAATAATATTCAGCAAGGATGCATTTAATTGTATATTTCTATTTCAAATAAATGCTATTCTTTTCAACTTTCTATTAATTCAACTTTCTTCACCATTTCCACAACAACATTAAGCAGCATAAGGATAATGTGACATTGAAAACTGGAGTAAAGGCTTCTGAAAATTCAGCTTGGCCAACACAGGAATAAATTACATTATTATTAAGTTGTAATAATATTTCACAACATTTCTGAGTTTAATGTATTTTTGATCAAATAAATGCAGCCTTTGTGAGAAACTTTTTTTTTTTTAAAGGGGTCATATGTTGCGATTTCAAGTTTTCCTTTCTCTTTGGAGTGTTACAAGCTGATTGTGCATAGATAAGATCCCTGAAGTTGCAAAGACTAAAGTCTCAAAACCAAAGAGATAATCTTTATCAAAGTTAAGACTCTGCCACGCCCCCCTAAAACGCCTCGTTCTAACACGCCCCCACATATCTACCTCACCATGTGGAAATATT